GAAACGCTGAAATTAATCGATATATATTCGATTCGTTCGATATACGGTGGAGCCTCGATTAATCGAACTGGAATTTTCTTGGTATTTATTGTTTAGATTTTTGACGACGCTCAGATTGTGCATGAAAATCGGCAAGTTGGGAATAGGAGATACGATTGTTCGAGTCTCGCGGCTCGTTTTCATGGTTACCGATTGACGACGACTATAATCGTATGATTATAATATATCTGTGTAATTATTATATAATATATAATCGTAGAATTATAATATATCTATGTAATTATTGTATAATATAGAATCGTAGAATTATACTATCTGTGGAATTATTATATAATGTATAATCGTATAATTATATGATATGTATGCAGGATGTCCCAAAATTATGGTATTTCCGAGAAATAAGGGGTTCCTGAGATCATTCGAAGCAACTTTTTCTTCAGCGAAAATGCAATCCGCGGCTTCGTTTACGAGTTATTAACAAAGAAACAGTGACCAATGAGAGGCGAGCTCGATTGGCGCGAGGCGGCCGAGCCAACGAGCGGTCGAATCCCAGTTCCGCCCATTGGTTCGGTCGTCTCGCGCGTCAGTTGATCTCGCGTCTCATTGGTCACCGTTTTTCGTTAATAACTCGTAAACGAAGCCTCGTAGAACATTTTCGCTAAGGAAAAAGTTGCTTGGAATAACCTCAGGAACCTCTCTCTCTCCTTTAAGTACCATTATTTTGGGACACCCTGTATATTATATATAGATATAATCCTATAGTATATATATACCGTATATAATCGTATAATCGTACCTTCTGTTCCCAAATTGTCCATTCTCGCGCGCAATCCAAGCGTCAATTAGGGAGAATTTATTGTAACAACGGTGATTTCCAGCTTCGGCGGACGTTCGACGCGGACAAAAATTGAAACAAGATCATTTTCATCGACAGGAAATTTGCAAATACTGCGAAGTGAAAAGTTCCGAATCGCGGAGTAAAGAGCAAACTCGAGAAGGCGTGCGCTCGAGAATCGACGCCGATCCGCGAACAATGGAACGGTTTCGGCTGCGCGCGCGCGAATGGGAGAATGCAAATAGAGAAACGGTAAAAGTGTTGCAGTATGCATCGTCGCGTGAAACAGGAGAGCCTGTCGTTTAAAGGTCGATCAGGCTCGCTCGCATAATGCACGAGACGGCGAATCGATGAGCGAACAAGAAGAAGAAGAAAGAAAAGAAAATGAAGAAGAAGAAGAAGAAGGAGAAGAAGAATCAGAATCAGAAGAAGAAGAAGAAGAAGATGATGAAGAAGGGATCGTTCTCGGCAAGTAAGCTCGAAAAGCGTGGATCGTTCTCGGGTTTTCCAGCGGCAGGTTTTCTCTGTTCATTTGCGAGGAACGTGTGTCGATCGCAATCTACCATGGATCGTTTCCGGCCGGCGATTAACATCGGCCGAGATGAAAGTGCTAATTCCTGGTATATTCAATTAAGTTTTACGCCCGCGGATAATATATAATGGCCGGCTTAATGGAATTCGGTGAATCTTCCTTGTAGCGAGAGCGGCGCATCGAGCACGGATAACCCGGTCAGAATGTTTCCCGCTTGTAGACGCCGCTTATCCGTCCATCGCTTCGTCTCTATTATCGTTAACGAACTTATTAAGGCGGGAAGGGAGAGGGGAGACCGGGACGGGCTGCATCGGCGATTCCCGGGTCCGTTCGGACCCGTGGCCACCGGGAACGTTGACGCGCCAGCTGCGAATCGTCGAACAACGGTTCGACCCGATCGCGGCTATCGAGTGAAATTCAATCGATCGTTTCACGAATTTCAGCGATTTAAGGACTTTTTTAAGGATTTTTACACGCGCTTGTAAATTCTCTTGGATAGCGAACTGTTTTACTTGTGTCTCGCGTATTAATTCTTGCGACGGATCCACGAAATCCGTGTTGTAATAATTAATGTGTCAATAAAAGGTTCGTCTCGTTGATAAATAAAGTAATTATTATTTTGTGGGGAATTTCCCCGACCGATATTAAAAGATAAATATATAATATTATAATATAAATAAATATAATGTAATATAATAATGATAATAAATATAAATATATAATAATATAATATAAATTCTCTTGGAACGCGAACTATTTTACTTACGTCTCGCGCATTCATTTTTGCGATGGATCCACGAAATCCGTGCTCTAATAATTAATGTCTCAACAAAAGTTTCGTCTCGTTGATAAATAAAGTAATTATTATTTCGTGAAGAATTTCCCCGATCGATATAAAAATAGAAAATATAAACGCGTTCGTAATAAACGCGGATTGAGCGAGAAACAAATGAGAATCGGCGGTTGCATTAAAATATTATTTAATTTATCGGCGATAATAGAATGTAAATATAAAGAATAATGATCCATAAATAATAGTTTGGAAACGTCTGATCGAACTTGTTGCTACAGGTCGAAACGGACCCGGTTGTGCGAGGATAGAAAACGAGGGACGCTTTAAATTTCGTATAATATATTTTCCATATAATAATTCTCGCTATACAGACATTATTTTACAAAGCATGATTTATACTATTATGTACTTGTTGCTGCATTTACTTAGCGTCGAGCCGCGCGCGTTACATCGCGCCAACATTTTACAACGACCGCCGTCGTTCCTGGCTAATGTTTTCATCCTCACTCTCTCTCTCTCTCTCTCTCTCTCTCTCTCTCTCTCTCTCTCTCTCTCTCTCTCTCTCACTCTCTCGCACATTTTCCTCGCGTTACAGCCTAAGATTTATACATTCATAATACTGGTATTTCATCGCCGAACGCGGACCACCGTGTCCGTACAGCGGAGCGCCTCTCTCGCCGCACCGGCAGCGGCTTTTTCGAAAATTCGAAATCCGCGCGAAGTTGAAGCAGCCGCGACTGTTCGGACACGCGATTCCGCGATCTTCTACGTATACTGGAATCTGAAAAATACTTCGAAATATCTCGTTACCGCGGCTGGGTCGACCGTGTCCGATCGTTCGTTCGATCGTTCGATCTTTCAACCGCGCGCGCATAACTTAAACCTCCGCTCGCAGCTATATTTACATGTCTCAATTGTCCGACCGTATATAATCAGTACGTCGTCGCGCGTATTTACAAAGGGGCGTGCCTAGATATCAGGGGAGACACCCGGCCTCGACGACCGCGCCCGTCGGTCTCCTATATTTCGCAAAATTTCGGAGCATTCAACGCTCTCGCTGCGTTCGCGAAGCATCGCGCCGAAAGCTCGTGGACCGCGCGATTCGCTCGAAAATCGCGAAATTCGCGATCGAAGCGATCCGTTCAACCCCCGCCAAGCGGCGGCTGGGTCGACGGTGACTCGGACCGTTCGAATCGCGTTCGCTAAACTGCTCGATGCTCGGCGATCGAGGCGAATAAATTGTTGTTGCGTCGATCGAATCGAATGCTGTCGCGTCGATCGAACAAAACGGCGCGAAATATCTTCAAAAAATATCTCCCGAAAAAACAGCTGCACGAAGCTCGGAATTGTTACGAACGTCGTCGATTAGCACAGTTGTGAAAACGGTCCGCCGTCGAAGAATCGATCGAATCGACGTCGAAAACGATTAAATTACTGTCTCGACGCTCGTCGAATTCCACGAAGTCGGCGAAAAAGAGTGTACGTTGCTTTGGAATCGAAAACAGGTGTACGCGAATGTACGTCTCGTGCGAACCATGATCGCGCAGCTTAGGGACGAACGGACGTCTTCTTCCGACCGATCGGACAGCTCCTTAGGCGCTCGACGAAGGCTCGACGCGTTTAGGAAATTCGACGCGATCCAACGGAACGATGCGAAACGAAGGAGGACGTTCCACGAATTCGCCGTTGGTGAGTCGCGCGAACAATAGCGCTTCTCTCCGAGAAATTCGTGGACAAACGTCCCGAGACCTCGGAGACGTCCCTCGCGCGTTGCTCGGCGAGCGGCTCGGTCCCAGCTATTTTGAATAGGGCCCTCCCGAGGGATCGAAGCGCGAGGCCCCGGTGCCCCGGTCCCCGTTTCCCGTGGTTTTTGCCGGCCGCGTGTAATTTCGTGTCATTTCAGATTTCTTCCCCCGCAGGCGAGATCGGACGGGCGCGCAGGCGGCCACGCAGGCGGCCGGGTCCCCCTAATGTCATATTAATTGTAGATTCGCGTTCGTACGCGATTGGCTCGCTTCCTGCCGCGACCATAACCGTGCCCGAGTCTAGCCGAGGCTCACCTAACCTATGGTTTGCGTCCGCCTTTCTACAGCCTGGCGAACCGTTCTTATTTTTACACCGTGCGAAGCAGCTGCTGCGTTTCAACCGCCTTCGTTACCACGAGAGACGACGTGTTATCTCGCCGCGTCGGTTGCGCGACGATGTCAAAGGGATATCTCGCGCCGCGATCTACGTTTCACGGTGCCACGGACGACCTCTCTCGCGCTGCAATTTCCACGTTTCGGTGTGCGGTCATTTCTCTCCAATTCGCGGCCAGATTCAGCGCGAAAATTGACGATTTGCGGAGACGAGGTGCGATTGTTCGAGCTTTGCGACACGTTTTTTTATAGTTGTTGGCAATCGGTGACTATGAAAATGAGTCGAGAGGCTCGAATAATTGTATCTTCTTCTCCCAAATTGTCCATTTTTGTGTATATGCTCAGCGTCAATTAGGGAGAATTTTTGGTACTGCGATTTCTCTCTAATTCGCGTCCAGACTGCGCGCGAAAATGGAAAATTTGTGGAGAAGAGATGCGATTGTTCGAGCCTTGCGACACGTTTTTTATAGTCGTTGACAATCCGTGACTATGAAAAGGAATTGTTAGGGTCGAATAATTGTATCTTCTTCTTCCAAATTGTCCATTTTTGTGTATATGCTGAGCGTCAACTAGGGAGAATTTACAGTACTGCGATTTCTCTCTAATTCGCGTCCAGATTGCGCGCAAAAATGGATAATTTGCGGAGAGGAGATGCGATTGTTCGAGCCTTGCGGCACGTTTTTATAATTGTTGACAATCGGCAACTATTAAAAAGAGTCGCCTGGCCCGAACAATCGCATCTTCTCCTCTGAAATTATCCATTTTTGTGTACATGCAGAGTCTCAATTTACGGTATTGCAATTTCTCTCCAATTCGCGCCGAGATCGCGCGCAAAAATGGACAATCCGCGAAAAGAAGACACGATTATCGGAACATTGCCGATCGAATCGTCCATTTTTGAGCGCAATCCGAGCGCAAATTACCGAGAAATCGTCGTACATCCTGCACGATAAGATCAAACAAATTAATCTATAAAAAGAAAAATATACCAAATCCTTCACCACCGAGTTCCCGTCCGCCAACAATAATCGAATCCCTTCTAAATTTCCAATCTAGCAGACTTGCTTGTCAACGCCAGATAACCATGACATTTCTCTCGTAATCTCGCGAAGCAGAAATTGCGAACGCGACGCGTCCCGTCCGCAGCGCCGCGAAATAGAAGTCGCGAGATATCTCGTCGATAGCGCGGTACAACGCGCGTGCGTCGCGACGCGAGATATCTCGTCCGCGGTGGCAGAAGGGTTAAGGACCTTTCGCCTCTAGATCCGGCGCGCGCGCGATTTCTCGAAAGAGATCGGTTTCGGGCCGATCGGAGAGTGCCGAGTGCGCTCTAATCGGATGCGCCAGCGCGCGCGCGCGCGCGTGCACTCGATTGTCCGCGAACGTCCGTCCGCAAACGCGATTCCACGATCGTGCGGCGGCAACGATCGATGGCCGCCTCTCTCGCCGCTGTCCTATTCACTAAACGGCCGGCGAGTCGCAAACTTTGGTTAACCGCACCACGCTTCCTCCGCGCTCTCATTATCTACGAGATCCCGGATGTCCCGCGCCATGTCACTTCCGGCGTGTTCCAGCTCACGAAATCGACCGTTCTCCTCGTCCCCCTTCGGCGACCTTGGACGCGCGGCAGCGTGCCGCCCCTCCCCGAGCCGCTCGATCCCGATCGAGCGCCGCGCGGTCAGGGTGATCGCGAGCACGATCATCGCGAGCACGATCGCGAGCGGACCTAGATGTCGTGTATGCTCTCCTCGTCGCTGTCCGCCCTTATGCTCTGAGGGCTGTCCTCCCTCTTGATCGGCGAGCCGTCGCGGCTGTTGCTCCTGTCCCTGCTCTGCCTGGCCCTGTTCTCCCTCTCCCTGCCGTCCATCATCTCCGGGCTGTCCCTGTAGTAGTTGGTCAGGTTCGAGGTCAGCGAGCCGATGGTGTTGCTGGGCCCCGGCTGGAGCATCGCCGCCGGGTACAGTCGGTCGTCCTTGCGCATCGGGGACCGACAGCTCGGGCTCTTGCTCCTGTCACGCTGCCTGGACGCTCTGGTCTCCCTCTCCCTGCCGTCCGGCACCTCCGGGCTGTCCCTGTAGTAGTTGCTCAGGTTCGACAGGCTGGAGCTGGTGGTCAGGGTGCCGAGGGTGTTGCTGGAGCCCGCCTGCACCATGGACGGCGCGTACAGTCGCTCGTCTTTCCGCAGCGGAGACCGCTCCCTCACCGCCGGACTTTTGCTTCGGTCACGCTGCCTCGATCGCTCCATCGACTCCCGCTGCTCCCTGCCGTCCGCCATCTCCGGGCTGTCTCTGTAGTAGTTGCTCAGGTTCGACAGGCTCGAGCTGGCTGTCAGCGAGCCCAAAGGGTTGCTCGGCCCCGGGGCCAGGATCATCGTTGGCGGATACAGTCGGTACGGCAGCGGCTTCTGCAGGGTCACCGCCGCCGAGGCTTGCTGATAGAAGAGTCCGTTCGTCGGCAGCGCGTGTGCGCTCGGATACGGCCAATAACGACCCGCAGGGTGCGCCGGAACCGCGGCCGGAACGCTGCCGTACAGCTGCTGGAACGCCGCCACCGCGAAATTGTTCTCCGCCATGATCTCGATGCCGACCAGCGTCTGCCGCTTCCACTTCGTCCTGGAACACAAGCGGAACCGTGGAGTCAGTCGTCTTGTCTCGTTCTATAAAACCGTTGATTTTCTCTTCCGTGATATATTATATGTATACAGGATGTCCCAAGAATGTCAGTGTATACAGTTTGTCCCGAAAATGAGGAGTTCCTGAGGTGATTTGCAGTAGCTTTTTCCTTAGCGAAAATGTTCTACGAGGCTTCGTTTGCGAGTTATTAACGAAAAACAGAGGCCAATGAGAGACCAGCTCGGCTGGCGCGCGGCGACTGGAACCAATCAGCGGAACTGGGCTTCGACCGCTCGGCCGCCTCGCGCTAGCCGAGCGCGCCTCTTAGTGGTCAGTGTTTTTCGTTAATAACTCGTAAACGAAGCAGCGGATCACATTTTTGCTAAGGAAAAAGTTACTTCGAATGACCTCAGGAACCCCCCATTTCCGGATTACGAGACATTTTTTAGACACCCTGTATACAGTGAATTCTCTCTAATTGACGAAGCTGAGGCTTCGAGGCAAAAATAGACAATTCGGGAGGAGGCTCATTTTTATGGTTACCGATTGTCGACAATTATAGAAACGAGGCGCGAGGACTCGTATAATCGTATCTTGTATTCTCGAATTGTCGATTTTTGCAAGCTGAAAGAAAATTAGAGAGAATTTATTGTACCTAAAATTTTGAGAAAAAGTCGATTTAAGGGCAACAACTAGCAACAGTAAATTCCATACCTAATTGATCCACGGCTTGTAAACAAAAATGGACAGTTTGAAAAGAGTCGACGCGAATGATCGTGTCTCTCTCCTCTTCCCAAACTGTCCATTTCTATGTACAGTAACGTCTCCCTAACTGACGCTCGAATTGTGCACAAAAACGGATTGCCTAATTTATATTTATTTGAAATTTAAACTTATTTTTACTTTTTTACTTTAGTAGCGATCAAAAGCTTTAACAGAAAACTGTTATAAAACAATGTACATCAGTTGGTACAGTAATGTTTCCCTAATTGACGCTCAGATCGTGCAGAAAAATTGACAACTTTTTTGAAAGAGGAGATATGATTATTCGAGCCTTGCAGCTCGTTTTTATAGTCGTCGACAATCGATGACCATAAAAAGCGAGCCACAAGGCTCGAACAATCGTATCTCCTCTTCCAAAATTCTCCATTTTCGTGGACAATCTGAGCGTAAATTGGAGAGACATTACTGTACATCAGTCGGTACAGTAATGTCTCCCTAATTGACGCTCGGATCGTGCAGAAAAATTGACAACTTTTTTGTCAGGAGGAGATACGATTGTTCGAGCCTTGCAGCTCGTTTTTATAGTCGTCGACAAATCGTGACTATAAGAATGAACCGCAATCGTACCTCCGCTTTCTAAATTGTCCATTTTCGTGGACAATCCGAGCGTCAATTAGAGAGACATTACCGTGCACGTTGAGTGACAATCGGAGAGAATTTACCGTGATGCGAGAACCTACCATTATTTCGACCACAGAATCTAGATAAGAACCTTGAACGACCTTGGCTGACATTGAACCGTGAATCATCGGAGGCCGCGGGAGAACGTTCTCCCGCGAGCGTGGAACAATGTTGCTCGTTTCGCGTGTCAACATCGTTCGCGATTTCGCCTATCTTTCTATAAAACGAATCGGTTTGACGGGTTTATAAATAACGTCGAGCAACGCCGGCCCGGGCGGTAAGCGCAACCAACAATTAAAGTTCGTTCCCGCGATTCTCGGGAGCTGATTCCGGGCTACATTCCGCGGGACATTCAGGGTCAAACCGGGGTGCTGCCGTTCATGGCGTCCCGCAATTTCCCAGAATCCACCCCGGGCCGGCCCCCCATCGCCGGCCGATCTCCGTTCACCTACGTATGTAAATCTCGATCTGGGACAATTACGTTAAAACGGAGTGGCGTGCCGGCGAGTGGTTACGTTGGCCACACTGTCGGACGGCTTATTATACTAACAAATAGCCCGTGGAGTTTCGCTGCCTAATCATCGCGTATCATGCCACGCGCGCGCCGCTTCCTACGCCGCGGCTGCGAACGCGAGGGCGCCCTTAGACGCCGCGTCTCGCCGCGCCCCGCGTCCCGCCGCGCCGCAGAGATATATCGTTCGCCGTATCGATCCGTCCGCGAGCCGATCTACGAGAGACCGCGGCGTTCGCCAGCCCTTACGGCGAAGGGAAATTGATCGTAGGCGAAAAAACAATCAGCGATTTCGCCGCGCCGAGAAGCCCGGAACGCGGACTCGGAACACAGTAATGTCTCCCTAACTGACGCTCGAATTGTGCACAAAAATGGATTGCCTGCCTGCCTAATTTATATTTATTTGAAATTTAAACTTATTTTTACTTTTTCACTTTAGTAGCGATCAAAAGCTTTAACACAAAACTGTTATAAAACAATGTACATCAGTCGGTACAGTATTGTCTCCCTAATTGGGAGCGTTAACTGACGCTTGCGTCCCGTTTTTTTACAGTCATTGATATTCGGTGAGTATGAAAACGAGGTACAAGCCTCGAATAATCGCGTCTCCTCTTCCAGAATCAAGCCGTTTATTTAGTATAACGGTGTCAGCGTTTTGTGATGCGTCAAATCAGTTTTGCTATAAACAAGTAAAATCTGTAGTTCGATCATCACGGTAGAAAATTAGTATGATACGCATCTTTCATCATGTTTTGGCCAGTTGCACATTTCCGGCCAGCTCGTACGTTTGAGCCGTTCATTTTGAAAGTGGCATAAGTCACTTCACCGTGATGAAAAGTGGTGATTTTTTTAATGTTTACACGAAATTATTTATACTGAGAAAAATATCAGTATCCCGAGACAACAAATACAAGTAAATCTTCTCGAAAGTTAGCATCCATATTAAATATATCCTTAATATATATTATATTTAATTATAATATATTTATATATATATTATTTATTTATATTATATATTTTTATTTTTTTTACTTCTGTTATTTATTATATATTATATATATATAATATATTTAATTATAATATATATTATATTTAATATATCCTTAAATCTATCGACTTGAAAACAAAGTGACTTGTGTCACATTCAAAATAAACGGCTCAATTGTCCATTTCTGTGGACAATCCGAGCGTCAATTAGAGAGACATTACTGTACGGCGAGGAACGCGCGTTCTTTAGCTCGCGCCGCGGCGGGGCGAAAAATACTTTCCGATCGAAATCTTTGCCCTTTGTCTTTTCGTGCCATTGGCGCGCGCGTATTCGCGGTCTCGCCGGTGCAGCACGATCGTTAAACTTTGACTTCTTCGCGGTGCTTTCGACGTGGTCGACGTTTCGCAGGAAGAAGGAACGAAGTTATGATAACCGGTGGCATTGTTTGCGATCATTTTACACGATTGTACTATATTCAGCGTTTAAAGTCGAAGCTGTTTTATCTCGAAGTCCAGGATGTTTCGTTCGATGTACAGTGTGTTTTATTTGACGCTACTTGTGGATATGACATCGATTCTACTGGCACCTGCATTTATATGTATAGCAATTTACTGCACGATAATAGTAACTTCTAACGGCGTCTAGGCATCGCAGTGCGAAGGGTTTTCAAGATGTACGCGCATCGCACAATTTTTCTGCAATTCTGAATCGTCGTTTTAAGCGACCAAATCAGTCGAAATGACTGGTTTCTGTTTCTTTTGAAATCTCAGGCGCTGTAAAAATATCTTCGTCAGGAATTCATACACGAATTTCTTCGTTCAAGCATACATTCTAATAAAAATCGTAGGAAGTTTAAATAAATCCGATCGTGTCATTCTTCTTCTTCTTCTTCTTCTTCTTCTTCTTCTTATTATTATTATTATTATTATATAATATAATAATACTCTTATTATATAAGAATGTTTTAACAGGGGAATGTTTTAGAATACAGAACGTTTTACAGAATATTTTAACCCCTATTTTAACAAGGGTGACCAAAGTGTCGACCATGGTCGACTGGTGCATTTATTATTACGTATTAATTATTCCTAGTCGCCTGCCTGCCCGATAGGTCTAACATTTTTATTGATTTATATTTATTTTAAATTTAAACTTATTTTTACTGTTTTACTTTAGTAGCGATCAAAAGCTTTAACACAAAACTGGTATAAAATAATGTACATCAGTCGGTATAGTAATGTCTCCCTAATTTACGCCCAGATCGTGCAGAAAGATTAACAATTTTTTTGGAAGAGGAGATACGATTATTCGAGCCTTGCAGCTCGTTTTTATAGTCATTGACAATCGATAACAATAAAAAGCGAGCCACAAGGCTCGGACAGTCGTATCTCCTCTTCCAAAATCGTCTATTCTCGTGGACAATCTGAGCGTCAATTGGAGAGACATTACTGTACATCAGTCGGTACAGTAATGTCTCCCTAATTGACGCCCGGATCGTGCAGAGAAATTGACAACTTTTTTGTCAGGATGAGATATGATCATTCGAATCTTGCAGCTCATTTTTATAGTCATTGACAATCGATAACAATAAAAAGCGAGCCACAAGGCTCGAACAATCGTATCTCCTCTCCCAAAATTCTCAATTTTCGTGGACAATCCGAGCGTCAATTGCAGAAACATTACTCTATTTCCACCGTAAAATCGGCTAAGATCGCAACGTTACCCGCGAGAAGAGAATCGCGAGCGTACAGCGCGCCGTTTGCAAGGATATTAGCACTTTCGACTTTCGTCTAGCGATTCGAAGCGCGCGACGCGGCGATTACGCGTGCTCGTCGCCGTGAGGAACGGATACCAAAGGAACCATTGTCGCCGCGCAGATTACACGGGGGGAGGACAAAGAAAGAGGCGCTTCGCCGGATGATAATGGTATTTCAATTGGTTCAATTACGCAACTCGTTGCGCGGCGCGTAATTATTAAAGAGCCGTGAAGGAGAATTGCGGGCCCGCGTCGCGCGACACCTGGTCATTTAGCGATCTCGCTCGAGTTACAGGGCGCACATCGCGCGTTTGTTATTACCGTAAACGTAACGCCGACTT